TTTCTTTTAAAATATATTTTGTTGTTTCGAATATATGCTTAGCATATGTTTTGGTCAAAGGCGAGACAACAGTTCTGTTGAAAGTGCACACATTTTGTTAACGTGCATTATACGTATACTATTACCAACAGGGCCGTATTAACGCATAGGCATTATTTTATTTTTATTTATTTATATAAAATCAACGGGCCGAGCCCTTTAACAATGAAAGAAAAATATTAATATATAAAATGGCACAATATAAAAAAAAAATAGACAAGTGATAATAATAACAGTAAAAATAGTAAGAAATACAAAGATAAAATTTTAGTATATAGAACAAAACTATAAAAATAAATATTTTTATTTATTATAGGCAATATGTCTATGATTTTTTTTTTTTGTATGTAAATTGGTATAAAAAATTTTTTTTATGGTTTTTGACAATTTATATTATATATGTTTTGGATTAAAATTAATTTTTAAAACATTTGTTAAAACTTTTATCGCATAAAAATGTATAATAGTTATCATATAAAAGTTTAGATTTGATTTTTATGTTGTAAATAAAATTGTTTTTAAAAGCTTAACACTACATGAAATTCAATACTTCCTCTCCCAAAGAGAAGGTTTTTTAACCATTTAAATACTGAACAAAGGCTCTGCTGGGACTAGGGGCCTAGAGCCTACGATAGTGTTAATCCTGGTCTGACTACCGACACGACACAAACTATACACACACGCTCCGACACCCGTTATACCTCCTCTCACCACTATCCAGAGCCGTATTTAGGGGAGAGTTACAGGGTGCTGTTGCCCCGGGCGGCTGAATATGAGAGAGCGGCTAATTTTTTTATATTTTAAATATTTAATGATCTAATATTTTTGAAGTAAAACTTCTTTACAAAAAAAAAAGTGTATCTCAAAAAAATATATATATCGCCAATCACGGCGTCACGACATACACACACAAATACTCTGTAACGGTCGAGTACTGTCGATAGATCCAAAGATTTACAAAAAATCTATTCTTATGTTGATATTGCACTTAGAATGTTTTTGTGTACACCAACAACGATTTGTTCTTCAGAAAGATCTTTTTCAACCCGCAGAAATTTGTATTTGGTATAATGAGGCGTTTTTTATTGTTGCCCCCTGGTGTCAAATTCTTAAATACGACCCTCCCACTATCATACACTAAATATATATATATTTGATCTATGCCTCTGTCTTCTACGCTGCAAAACACCATTGGTACAATGATGAATTATACTATACGTACCTATGTAATTTTCTTATCGTACATTATTTTACAATGCATAGACGACGTTTTAACATTTGTAACGTGTTAACATAATTGTTCAAAAGCCGTTAAACCTTCGTCGTCGATGTTCGTGTCAATCGGAAACCCGTGTCGTTAATATTTAAAATTACGAATCGGCGTCCTCCTACGGATGGGAAGGGAAAGAGATGGAGTGTGCGAACAAAAAAATATGACAAAGGAATTACACGCGCGTAAAGTGTTTTGCGCTTAAGTCGTTAAACCATGGTTTTAGATGTTATACGGATTAAGGGGGAAGGACTTCCGAACTTAGATTTTGCATATTATTTCGTAGTGCTGTGATGTATAATATATACATGTGCGTATTTGTATGTAATAATTAAGTGCCCTAGCGTGCAATATTAGGATAAAAATTAAAATTAAAATCTCATTTCACAGTTTAAGGGCATATTTTCATATTTCAGGACTAGTTACATTATATACACGCCATCTTAAATTGATACACGCGTTTTCAACTTCCTTTAATTTCTTTGTTTTTAAAAATGTTGAACTTGTCGATTGTTTGGATCAGTGGTTTTCAACCTTTTTGTTAATGCGGCACATTTCATCTCAAAAAAATATTCGTGGCACATCAATCCAATTATTATGTGAACCATATTTTATTTATGTAAATGTACACTGTTTATAGTCTACTCTGATCCTGATCAATTCTAGAGGGTTATATATTGTGAAATATATTAATATAACCGATCGATTGAGACGACTGCGACTTACAATAAGTAATATTATATGTATCTACGATTAGTTCGATCAGTTTTCATCGAATATCGATAATAAGTTGATAAAAACATACTTATAAAACAATCTATAGATTTATCGCTGCACACCTCAAGGGCACATCGGTTGGGAACCACTGGTTTAGATCTATAAATATTTTGAAATCCAAACATTTCAGCTTAATATGCATACATAATTCATATTAATCTTCAAATCGATCGACTTTCAATTATTATTTGCTTAAATTGTTTTAATAGCACGGTACGTATTGCATTGCATTTCAAGATTATTCAAGGTCATATTATATTACAATTTATAGTGCAAGTAACTATAATGCTTAAATGCATAGCTACGTACACATACTATTTGATTATGATACGTTTTTGAGTGCTATGAAATCTGAAAGCTGCACGTACACCTACAATTACTAACTATAGTAACGCGTTTGCGTAACCAACAAACATATTATTTCAATATTACAAAATTATATCAATGTAGATACAGGTACTCGACAATTTTAATAATCTATAGCTACTCGAGGCATTATACTGACGAGTTCATATTTTATTATTATTCGTGCCGTTACGTAGCGTAACGCGTCATACAGCATGAGTAATAAACATTATTTTAGTACTATTACGATCAGTCGACGGACTCGTGAGCGTATGAAATTTAATATTGTTTGCATAACATTACTACTGAGACTTTCGCATTGAATATATCCGGCATCAGCCGTACGTCGTGTGTTGTTGACGTCACAATTCACATAATATTTTTGCTTGGAACAGTATAAATATAACAACGTGAAGACTTGACGCAAAAGTTTTCCAAGGACGACGTTTAAACGTCACAGCTAGTGGCGTAGCCAGGATTTTTAAATGGGGGGGGGGGGGCTAACCACTTTTTTTTGGATAAGTAAGGTAAGAGAAGATATGAGAATTCACCCTTAACCCCCCACCCCACCATCTACCACCAAGTTTCTAAACGTGATTCAAGGATTTTAGTATAGTTTTAAAAATATTTATTAATATATAATTTATAATAATAATAATAATTTTGGTTTCAGTGTTCAGTCACTTGCTCCACTCTGACAGCTGCATTCTCTTAGGCGAATTTCTGACAAATTCAGTTATTATTTCACTTTCATGGAATTGCTCTTTTTTATTTATATTAGCCATAGCTAACCCATTCAGTCTGTTTTCCGACATGGTGCTTCTTAAAAAAATTTTTAAGCGATTAAGTGCTGAAAACGTTCTTTCCGGAGTGGAAGAGGTAACTGGTAACGTGGCGAATAATTGTAAAAGTATTTTAATGTTAGGTCGAAGATTGGTGCGATGAGAGAGTGAATCAAGAGCAGAATTCGGTTTTGGAATAGTATTTTGACTTCATTTTTGCCTCCATATGAACAGGTCAGCTCTGATTGTAGATGAGGTATCATCATGGAGATCTTGGACATATATTTTAGCAGCTTTTATAATATTTTTATCGTCATACATATTTAAATTGGTCGGAATAAGTCCTTCAAGTGGCATAACATCAATAAGCCTTTGATTAAAACAAGCATTGATTCTATTAAATAGTCAAGATACATTATACATATAAACACGGCTCATGGGGGAGACTATAGCCCCCTTAGCCCCCCCCTTGGTTACGCCACTGGTCACAGCTGACGTGTTCTGGATTAACGGTATCCACGCCGTCTTCGTTGTGTCAGATACGCACGGTTTTTAATTAGAAAACCCGAAAAATAATTCGGTATATGATGAATAGTGAAACGTGGTTGACCACATGTATTGTGCCGAATAATTATGCACGATCATTTATTTATGGTATTCGATGTGAAGAAAACGTCAATAATTTAGAAGAAATCGATAAAGCGACAGTAGTGTGGATTGTTTACGTGTCGAAATAATTGAACTATAGAACTGTGGTAAAAAATGAAACCGCGAACACTTAAAAAACAATAATACACAAAATAAAGATTTAATTGTGTATTAGTTTAAGTTACTGTTATAAGTTATTGTTTTCGACCAACTTTAAAAAAAAATCTACGACATAGATCTCATTGAAATTCATCACTGGGTAAAATACAAAAATAATCGGATCTGTGTATATCTACACGTAAACGAAACGGACGTGAACGCTGATAAAATATTTTGTTGATACTCATGACATACTTGATTTCAACAAGAACTCAACAATAAATTGGCAGAGTTCGATTAATAGAGTCATTAAATGAAAATGACGTAGCAAGTTTGAGAAGATGTAAGAGACTGGAAATCGTACAGGAGCGTAATAATTCTGCAATAATTGACTGTATTGTACTACTAAGGTGCAGGTAGGTGTTGCCGTTGATTTTGGAATAATAACAATTTATTTTATAATCAAAGGTAATACGTGTAAGAAGTGTTAAATCGTCGCCGTAATTGTTGACAATTCAACGTGGAGTTTTCTCAAAGTTTGTGGCGTTTGAGGAGTACTCCTATTTAACATGTATGTTGTAAGTCGAGGTCGGTCGCACACAGGTGTTGAAAAAATTGTTCAATGTGCAATGTCCATATCGGTAAATGATCAACTCGACGTGAATAATGCGTAAACGTGGAATACATTATATATGAAAAAAAAAAATAAAAAATAACCGTAGAAAATTCGAGATATTTCTCGGTTGTTTTTACATTCGCATACCCATTCCGCAATATTATCATCCCCACCGCTCGACAGCTGTGACCTGTGGGATGTGGCTGCGACGAATCACGGTGGGCGGATCATATACGTGCCACGAATACAACGGCGCGCGGTGGGGACCACGGGTTCGATGGTGAGAACCATGGTTAAATCGTTGATTTCTCCATGACCGATGCCACGATAACGCACGCGATTGGCCAACGGATTCCGCTGCGCAATAACCTCGTTCCCATCGATCGTTGCCCACCGTCGCTTCGCCTTGTTCCAAAAACTATTTCAATAGCCCTTTGCCTGACGTCGACTACAGTACTGCAACGCCAATCTGTTCATCAAGTTAATCGATATAAAGTTGTTTGGCTTTTGTCTATTTGCGCATTTATTCATTATTTTCCAATCGAGCAGATCTACATTTAAAGTGAGTATTGTTTACGTTCTTATTTTTTAACTCCGTTTGTATTATCCGTTGTTTTAACTCCGTTTGTTTATCCGATGTTCTCACACGTCCGAAAACATAATCGTCCGTGCGTATGACAATGCCGTCGAAGCGCTTCAATCGCAAAACAATATGTCTGCCATACGGTATTCATTGCTGCGATTTGGTTTACGAAATCTTTCAACTACTCTAAGCATTTCCTGAAGCTTATCGATTTCTATTCTCGTGATCATTACATTACGTGTTTTAAAATTTTTTACTACTTTCTCGTTCTTCCGATTTAGCGTCGGATTATATATCGCCTTTGTTCCTTTGTCTCAGAATGACTACTGAGCCGCGCCCATTTGATATTACGAAACTTCAAACATGTAATGGAATCTTAATAGTAATCAGCAGTGGTATAATAAACCTAAACGTTTAAAATAAATGAACCAATTTGATTTTTTGTAAATGCGATTATTGTATTATAGATTCATAATTTTTTTTGTCATGTCCTCCAACAAAGACTAGGATTGGTTTTCTTTTAACTTATTTTGGATAATTGTCTATTATTAGTTCAATTACACAATTCAGATAGTACATTTACATATTTTCAGACACTTTTGAATGGAAATTAACTATAATAACTATGAATATTTAACAGTCTTGAATCTAAATTATGTGTGTATTAATTGTAAGTTATGTTTAATTTAATAAAACTTTTTTACTTCTGTCAACCTTATTAAAGTTTACAATGGTTCTAAAATTACTAACTTAAAACAATATTTTTTTTGAAAAATTAAATTTGTTAATGAAGTAATTCTAATTTAGGTACTACTTAAAATAAAGTTTTATTTTTTGTTAGATTGACTTATTGATTTACTTTAAAATATTGAACCAATGAAAATATATACTAAATCACCAAGAGTATTTAAATAAACAGATATATGTTGAACCATGTACTTATTCTGAATGAATTTAATGCAATTAAAAAAAATTTAAATCATGTTTTATTTATTTTTTATTTTTAATTTTTTGATAAATTAAATATTTTATTAAAATTCTACTCAATATTTTCATAATAAGAAAAAATAATTGTAAGTCAATGTTCCATGATTGGGAGTGCACTTCAGTTTTTGATAAAGTAGCAGAGCTGTAAAGAATACTTTTAAAAAGTATTTAAGATACTATTCAAATACTTTAGTTGTATAGTATTTCAAATACTACTCATATACATTAAAAAAGTCTTTGGAATACTTTTCAAATACTTTTGTTAAAAGATATTTGGAGTAATTAAGCCATTGTAAGCTAACATTTTGTAGAAAAATAGTCGAAAGAGATACATTATGGGGTTCTGAATCACTTTCATCATGAGTCTTATGGCTAGAATTGTTCATTTTAAAACTTGAAGTAATTGTAGTAGCTAGTAGGTTATAATAAACACTCAAGTCTTAAAATTAATAAATAAATACTGTAGGCTTGCAGCTATATAGTTTTTTTGGTGAAATCTTTGTTATTCTTGTAATCCCGTGTAACCAGGTAGATATCGTATATGATATTAACAGTTACCTATGTAATAATACAAAAGAAAATTCTGCTATTGAATATCTATTTTTAGAAACCTGTTTTTCACTAACCTTCAGGCTTTCATTATTGGCAATATTTTTCCAACAAAATACTTTGAATAAAAATAAAATGTTCATAAAATACTAATTATTTAATACAAAATATTCAATAGAAAAAAAAGTATTTAAAAAATTATTTGAATATAAATACTTAACAGCCCTGTAGAATAGTCAATGCATTAAGTTACGGTAATTCAAATAATTCCATTTATCAATTAAATTTAAATTATAATATATCAATTTGTGTAAATTTACTTCAGTCATAATTACTTCATCAAGATTTAATTTAATATTTCCATATCAATTAACCTTTTTTATTTGATTTTTCAGTTTCATAATGCAAATTTTTGTCAAAACCCTCACCGGAAAGACCATTACTTTGGAAGTCGAATCTTCGGATTCTATTGAAAATGTCAAGGCTAAAATCCAAGATAAGGAAGGTATTCCCCCAGACCAACAGCGTTTGATCTTTGCCGGTAAACAATTGGAAGATGGACGTACACTTTCTGACTACAACATCCAAAAAGAGTCCACCCTTCATTTAGTTCTTCGTCTTCGTGGTGGTGCCTAATAATTTTTAACCTATGCAATAATTCTGATAATTTTTAATAAAACGTTTTTAAAATTCTAAATCATATCCGTTTTGGAATTTATTATCAATTTTGTTTTTTATTAAATTTTTTTTTCAACTCAATTTATTAAGACTAAGAGGTTCAATAAATATATGATTTTGTTTATTATTCAATTTTATGTTATTATTTCTGTGTTGAATGAATGTGTCAATGAGTTGTAGTAGTTAATGCTTATTAACTTACATCTAATCCTATAATCGGATATTGAGTACTTTATAGTGTGTCTGTGTACTTATTTTTAAGATTAAATAAATGATATATCTAACAATTTGTGGGTTTGGAGAAAACGTGAGCAGAAAAACTAATATTTTGAAAATGTGTCAATTGTTTGGAGTTTAACACATAAAGGAAAAAAAATTGAAATAGAAATTATAATTTTATTGAATTTTATTTTGTCTTTGTTAAATACATTACAGAAAAGCATGGGAATTGGGTTTTTTTAAAAAAAAAATATTGGTTTGTTTTTCAAAAGTGTAATTATCTATCAGTTAATAATATTAATTATTGGTGTTATTGTGTCAAGAATAAAATATTTTTGATTAATTAACAGAACCTGCTCAAGGTATAGGTGAGCTAGGCACTGGTTTAGAGTGGCACTTTAATATGGGCGTCTGCTTTCTGTATCTGAAATCAGTTCTTGAGTACTTGTATAGAAACGAGGTAATTTTTACTTCAATACTTATGTGATATCAAGAATTATATTTACTGCTCCAACAGTTCAGAGAAGTTTCATAAGACTTAAAGCATTAAAAAATTATTTGGGATCAAATATATCTCAAGACTTATAAGTCAATATTTCTACTGAAAGCAAATTCGCTAATGAATAAGACACGGATAAACTTATACAGAGCTTTGCTTTACTAAAAGCAAAAAAAGTCAATTTTAAATAATACAAAGTTTTTTTTATTTTATTTTATCAACATAATTTAATATATAATACAGTAAAACCTCGATAAGACGGAATTTCTTGGGACCATGATATTCTTCCGTGTTAACGTGGTTTCCGTCTTGACGGGTTTCAAAAAAATTAAAGTGAATTAAATTAAAGATGACATATTTATTTTAAACCAGTTTATATATAATACATACAATTTATATTTTAACTTAATTATTTATTTATATGTACTTAATTATTTATATTTTTTTATTACATATTTACTTTTAGCTAGTATACATTAATAATTATATTTTTTGAAAAAAATCGGTTATTGATTTTTGCTTTTTGTTTCGTAAGGTGTCGCGTTTCACCTTGGCTTTCAAAGTCAAATTCAAAAGCTCACTATTGGACACTGTGAGGGAAAATGTAGTTTCACGAGGTAGCAGATAGTAGTTTTGTAATCTTTTACCAGATTTTCTGGTTCTCCATATTAATTTGCGTCGTTGTCTTTGTCCTTTTCACATTCATTCTCAATCATGGATGTAGCCGAATCATGAATTTACTGTGTCTCAAGTTGGCCATCAATATGAAGAAATTCTTCTAGGTTAAAATCAATTTCAACAAAGATATCTTGAATTTCAGTCCGGGCATTCTAATTGGGATTCACGTCCATTCCGTCAATAATGAATCCAGCTTTACGGAAACAGTTTTGAACACATTTATTTTTCAAACAATTAATCATGTTATATTTCCGTCTTAGCGAGGATTTTCATCAACTTTTATTACAAAAACGTGTTCGTTTCCGGCTTGACGAGGTTTTCGTCTTGGCGGGATAAAATTATATGTAATTTGAAACGGGACCAAAAAAATATTCCGTAATACCGGGGTTTCCGTCTTATCGAGGTTTTACTGTATTATAATAATAATTTATTTAATTTTTTAAGTTTATGACAAAGGTTTAGTTATTTGTATGGTTAAAAGTGAAAAATATTTTTAAAAGCAATAAATATCATATAAATTCCTAAAATCTAAATGCATGCTAAATAAAATGAATTTATAATAAATTATATAATTTTACAAATTTGGCGTTAAAATAAAAAATATGTCAAAATATCCCGATAGTCCCAACACTACTTGTTATTTCTTTAAAATAAAAAAAAATTAAAATGTTTTTCAAGGAGGTGTGTATCACAAAAAAATAAGAGAGGGGCTATCTTAAAATTAGAGCTAATTTTTTTTATTTTAGAGATAACAAAATTAGATTTTGCCTAGTGCACTTTTTTGTTTGAGCCGGGCCTGATAATTAAGATAAAAAATGATATGGGAGGTTTGACCACTTTTGGTCTCGGCTTCAAATATCTATTGATCTGTTGGTGAAAGTTATTCGATAGAATTTATCACGAGTGTTGATTTAGTTTGAGCTATTGCGTCTTAACATAATGTAAATACATTTTTAAATAAAATACAATTAATAATCCGTTCGTTGGCTGTATATTTAAAATTTTCTTTATTTCTTATTTTTATAAAATCATATTAAATTGATATCTTGAAGGATATGATATGGATTTTATTAAGCGCATAGATGCTTTTATAGTTATATTTGGAGTTAATTTTAAACTTGTTTATTATTTTGCTACTGTCCATAAAATTAATAATAAAGACTTCTGTGAAGTTGGCTCCCTGTTTTTAGAAATCTGTTATTCACTTAGGTAAAAAAATTAATTTGCATTCATAGTATCTATAATTTTTATAAAATACCGCAGAACATTTTAAAATAGAATGTCTTAATGGTGAGCAAACAATCTTTTTTTACTATTCAAATATAATATTTAAACTCTGGCTATATGGGCTTTTAATTTATTGCTATGCTCATTAGAGGGGAACCTCGGAGTATCTAAAATTGACATTTTGAAATTAGGAAGCAAAATGTTTGTAGCTGTCAAAATTGTACTATTTATGTAAATATTTACATCAAATATAAAACTGTTAGTAACTTGAAGAAATTCTATCCCAGTCACCCAGGCATTATCAAGTCAATGAAGACTGGTTTTTGGTTCCTCATGGCTTTATACAGCATTAAACTTCAACATTACTATTTTAAACTGTCAATATAAGTACAAATGTAAGATAACTGTAGTAAAATTAACTGACTTATCGACTAATTGACTGTACCTATTTAGTTACTGAATTTTTTTTTGTTTTCATCTAAATAAAATGGCCTCCAGGGGCAGACTCCATCTCATTTTTTTATTTCTTTTTTAGAATTTAAATTTTGAATATCAATTTAAATATAATTTCAATTCATGTTCCTTTGTTTAGCAATTCATTTGTTTGTTATCTAAATAAAATTGTGTTCTGGGGCCCCCTTTTAATTTTTTTGGTTATTTTAAAGTTTTGACTTATGACAATAAAATTGTAGACATATAATTGACCTAATTGTACAGTAGATAAACTTAATACTACATCCCCAAGGTAATTCGGTGAACAGTAGTGTTCATGAACAAATAGTGTTATTGTTATGTCATACAGATTTACAATATAACGATCAAAACATCACGTAAATCAATTTTAACATTGCATTTTAAGCCATAGACTACAAATATAAGTATACTTAAACTATGTTTGACTATATTACTGACCAAACATTTATTGTCTTTCTACGTTTTGATGAACGATCAAACATTTTGGACTATCTCGCAAATACAACACAGACTAAGTAAAGAGTAATGTACGATGAATAGATGCTATAATATTTCTCTATAACATTAAGATGAATAGTTCTTAATTTAGGTTTAAATGTCATAAGGTAATAGGTAATAGCATATATCATATATCATGTAGAAAAAACATCTTACAAGTTACAAATTATATATATATATTACTTTAGTCGTTTTCTTTATCAATTGGACATACATTTTAACAATAAACTGACAAAATACTTTGCTAAGATTTACACAAATTCAGTTTAAAAAATAAAAGAAGATATATGTATATAATTAATGGCTGAGAAAAAAAAAACATAAACGTAAAATTCAATATCTATTTGGATACAAATAAAAATTACATTTAAAAACCGTTTTACATAAAAAAAAAGTAAAAAGTAATTAAAAAAAAAAAAAAAAATAATAATAAAATAAACCAATTATATTATATTGAATAGCGACGATTTAAAAAAATAAATTAAAAGGTTAGTTGTATAGATATCGCTATTAAGTTTACAAAATCAAATCAATGATTAAGACATGTTCGTTTAGTATAGTTTAGATATTTAAAAAACCTTTCTACGTTACTATCGATTTAATAATAAAACAAAAAAATAAAAAAACATACAAAATTGTCTTTGTCTTCCTTTACAATAAAAAGTCATTGTCGTACAGAAATACATATCATCCTACTACAAACTGTGGTTACATATTAATCCGTCGGAAAAAGATTGTTCACTTTACAATAAAAAAATTTAAGACGATTATAATAACAAATCACTAAAAATTCATAGGTATCTAGTCTTTGTGAATAGATAGACTCGTAATTAAAATATTATACTTCGTCGCTGGGAAGGTTAAAAAGTTTTTCTTTTGTTTTGAGATTGATGAAAAATAAATCAAGTGCATGCGAGCACAAAGTACACAATTTCCTGAAAAATGGCTTTATCCAAGCAAATAAACTTGCGTTAACTCTACCATTACGAATAAATAATAAGAACAAAACTTCTTGTGGGATTAGGATTTGCACGAATGGGTCTGCAAGCTAGTAAAGACTGTCAAGGAGTTCATCGTCGGGCTATACAAAAGCACACAAAGTGAAAAGGTAGTGGGCGGATTTCTGAAAAAAAAAAAAAAATTGAAAATAAGGTTGTAACAAGTTGATGAGATGAAAAATACGGACTAAATACAAGGATAAGGAAAAGACAAGGAAAACGGAAAATTCCAACTCGACGATATTGTCAGTGTGTATTGTTTGAATGCCAAGAGATGTTATAGGGACAGGTTTTCTTTTGTTGGTAAGACAAAGCAATTTGTATGTCATTGTATTACATAGATAATTAATACATCAAATGATTTTTTATTGTTGAACATTAAACGCAATAATAACGATATACATATGCTTGTGAATATAGTTAACAAGGTAAGATTATTACTAGTATTATTATCATTATTATTATTATATTTATGAAGACAAAAATTTATTAAAAAGAAGGATTTTATTAGATAGTTAAAAATATTAGATGGATATATTTGTCTTCTTGATATAGTAGTATGTCTAGCCTTGGCTAAATAATAATAATAATAATAATTGTTATTTAAATGTTTTATTTTTTTTTAACTACTTAATAATTTAGATAAAAATAATAAAATAACAATAAAGTAGCACTCTTGTTTAATACTTCAATCTACCGCCAAGTATACAATACCCACAACAACGCACTACAGGTCACTTCAATTCTATTATGACAGTAAATCTGAAAATACAAAAAAACAATGTTTTAGAAAAATTATAAACTATTTATTATTGTTTAGTACAAATAGTACAATCACTAAAAAATTCTTTATAGTTGTGTAACTAGTATCTATTAAAGCTTTTGAATTTTGTAGAGAATTAACTCAGGAATTTAAATGAGTATCAATGAGTATTAAAATCAGTGTTTATTTAAAATAGATTTTATTGTAAAATAAGACATTTTTTTTTCAAAAATTTATCATAAATTATAATTTATTTTTATTTACAACTTTATTTTTAGGAAGTATGAAATTAGTTATTAGGTATACCTAATATTAATATATATTTGGATTAATAAATATTTATAGCGCATAATACTTAAATAGCTTGTTTTTTTTTAATTTATATCAATTTATCAATTTATTGTTAATAGATAAAAAAAAAAAAAATTACACATATACCTAAGATCCATAGTACTTGTAGCCATTATATCCTGTATCAATATACTTGTTTCAGTACACATAATTGTGTGGTCTGAATTTTAGAGAAAATGCACAAATATAGCCTATGAAATTTTATTGATTTTAAAAATTTATTTTTCAAATACACAGTACATTTTTTCTCTTGAAGTAATGTATTTGTGGTGTTAATTAAAAGAAAATAGTAATTTACCGTTGACAATTTGTTTTTCTGATCTATTGGTTTCTTGGTACGCGGTAAAGTCTGTGGCATTGTCTTGAATGCACTTGCTCATACCAATATCAATGATTTGTTGTGTAGATAAGGTATCTGATGGAATGGGTTCCAGCGATAAATCGAGTAGATTATTTGTCACATTGTTTAATTGTCTGGAAAAAACAAAAGAAATTTTTTTTTAATTCATCACTTAGATTAAAATAATTTTTTAGTTCAATTACAAGTGGTAAATATTTAATCCATTAATGCTCAAATTTAATACTCTAATGAGAATTAAGAGTTTAAAGAGAATAAATAATCATAAGAAATACATTTTTAAGTTTATAGATTACAAGAGTAAAAGAGTAATAAATAATTTTTGCTGTATAAATCCAAAACCAAACCTAACCTGTGTTACAAACCCCTCATCATCATAAAAAACAATAGACAAACATATTATTTTAATTGTCTTATACCCATTTGAAATAATATTAATAATTTCATAACAGATCTACCATCAATAATGATTTTTAAGTTCTATCTTTTACTCAAAGTTGATATATAGTGTTTCCGAAATGTATGAAAGGTAAATATTTTATATTTTAACCACCAATATTTTTATTTGTCTTATTTGTATGTAGAAACATCATATGCTTTGTAAGAAATTATTACTATACGAGTTATAATCCATAAGTATTAATTTTGTACTCAACAACTTAGATTTTATTAGTATTACTTTTATTAGTATTTTATTTAAATTTTAAATCATAAAAAAATTGATATAATCAAAAATAAAATATGATTATATATTTTGAGGTGAAAAATAAATTTTTGTAAGTATTAACATTTCAAATATATATTTCATTGTAACGTAAAATTTAGTCATTCATTAAATATATGTATATTTAATCAAATTTATAATTAAAATGTCAATGTTACTAAAAAAAATTATTGAATTTAAAATTAAAAATGATCAATTTTAATATTTAGCCAGAGCTAACAAATGATAATTCATTTTTAATAATAAAAGACTAAAATTAATGCTAAGATATTTTTTTTTATAACTTAATTTATAATATACATACACTTCAGAGCCAAAGATACTGCCATTTGCTGCTGAGTGACCATTACTGTGGTGTATGGCACCACTGTTATTGCTATTATCATCATTATTCGTATGGCCATTTTGTTTGGGACCTGATGGTTCAAGCAGCAATCCATTGGATAAAACGTCATCTGGTGGCAATACTGATGATGACGAATGATTCCTTTCGGCAGTCAACATTGCTTCAGTGTCAGACACCGGACCTTGACTAGTAGTCATCAGATCCGATGACAATTTTTCCGTTTTTTCTCCGGCTTGTTGCTCGGTAGATTCAGTCTCTTCCTGAGAATATTAAAAAAAAAAAAAAAAAAATGTGTTATTTTAGTTGCATATGATTGTTATTTTACACAACTAAAAATATACTTTTGTAGACGCGTTACTGGATCCTTTGCCTTGGTTCCTAGTTCTCAGCATGATAGCTTCGACTCTTTTGCGCCTCAGTTGCCTGTCTTCTTCCTCTTTCTTTAATTTGATTTCCATTTCTTGTCTAAGCCTAAAAAAATAACAATAGTAATTGATAGAATTTAACCAAAATATTATAGTATAGAAGTAAGTTTTTCAAAAACCCACTCGAATAAGGCAATAACTTTATAATAACTTACTTTTCCGCTTCTTCCTTTGCTTTGCGGTCCGCTTCTTCTTTTTCTAATTTTAACTTGAGCTCTTCTTCTTTCCGTTTCTTTTCTTCTTCTTCACGTTTTTTCGTCTCTTCTATAGCCAATTGTAAACGCAATTCCTCAGATTTTCTAGCTTCTTCTAAAAGCCTTAGCTGTTCTTCTTCTTGTCGACGTTGTTCTTCTTCTTCACAACGCAAACGTTCTTCTTCAGCTAATCTTTCAGCTTCCTATAATTTCGTTAACAATGTAAGTATGAAACAAGTAGTTCTATAAACAGCTAACTTATATTATAATACATAATATAGTTTCAATGTATAATATAAATAAAGTTACCAATCGTTGTCTTTCTAATTCTGCGTCTTTTTCTGCTTGTTCACGAGCAAGCCTCCTGCGCTCCGCCAACGCGGCTTTAGCTTCTTCTTCTGTCGAGATCTTTTGCTTGGTAGCCAACATAGAAGCGGTCATATCACATTCGGCCAAGTCGCTGATAGACTCTTGAATCGAATTCTCTTGACTGTCTTCATCTTTGGACATCACTGCAGTTGAATGGTGTTGAGAAGATTCGACATTTTCAGAAGTTTCTGAAGATTTAGTGTTTTTAATTTTTTCCTGAAAATTTGGCATAATGTTGTAATGCAACGAATTACTCGCTATAAAGCCCAATTTAAACGATGTTAATAGTTTAGTGAAGGAGCAAGTGATCTAATAATTACCAAACGTTTTAGTATCTGAAACTTGTTCATTTTACTACTGTTTTAGTAAATTAGTTAAGTATATATAATAAATTATAATTTATAATATATACTTATATTAGTTAAATATACGTCATATAAAATATAGTTGAAAATATGAATAGTCTATAAAAAAGAAAAATTAAATAAATAAATAAGATTTATTGAAACTGCTATTTTAGAAAAGATAGAAGAACCTGAAGAGTCAAAGCGAATATGAGTTACAAAATGAATTAAAAGAAGGGATAAATTGGGAGTTAGTAGAACAAGGACAACTAATACACTAAACTAAAATAACGTGTTCAGATCACCTAGTTAGTTAAAAAAAATAGTAAAAATAGAAATAAATGGATCCACTATATTACTTTACTAAACTACTCAATTTAATCGGTCTGTTTAAGCACATTTAGTTGCTAAATCACTCGTTACTTAACTGAACTACTAACATAGCGTGAACTAGGCGTTTATAGTAATTGTATGCAACTAAACCTTGCTTACGTCCTTTGTCGTAGACTGTTTATTATCATTTGGGAATTTTTTCGATTCTGTTTTTGGAGTAATTGTTTTTTTGGTAACATTCACTTTAGGCAACGGAGGTCTTTCGCCAGTGGCCGGAGATTTCGCAGATTGATCGGTGGACGCTGTTATGCCGGTCACAGCTATACTGATAGGCCGCGGTTTGCGAGGTGTCGCCACAGGTCTTGATCTTGGTTGGGACGGCAAAGGTCCAGTACTCGACTGACTCATAGAACTTTGAGGACGACTTGGTGTCATTTCACCAGATTTCATACCTAAACAGCCAATCCATATACAGTTAAGCAGATTGTTACACAAGATTATGCACGTTAATCATAAAAAAAATAAGGTTAAACAGTATGTAAATCGAAAATTCATACACGCAGGAAAACTCCAAAATAATTTTTCACACTTATTTAAAACGGTAGTTAAAAATATTCGCTTAACTATTCGTTAAAAAATTTATTATATAAATTCATATCAATACAAATGATGGTACTGAATATAAGACATAATTATAGCATCGATATTTTTTTGTTGAAATAGCTATTATAATTTTGATAATTTAGATTTCAACTTTAAATAGGTCAATGTAAAGCAATAGTTTTAACCAAGATTTGCGTTTAAACGAGTCATTAAATTAATGACAAACCCTTGGATTCATTTTCGCTAGCTTAAAAAAAATAAGTTAATAATAATTAACTTTTATTATTTTTTAATTTAATCTTTATATTAATATTAATATTTAGTTTTATTACTTTTCGATGTAAATAATCATTAAATCCAAAAAGTATTTAACACATTTTGTTATAAAAATAAGAAATGGTTGAATATTAAAAAAAAAAATCCTACGTGTATGAAAGATCGGTACTAACAACCGGTATATTTTAAATTTTAATAGACTTGATATTAATGTGACTGAAAAAAAGAAATTAGACAAAAGTGATTACAGTTAATATAATAAAATATTTGTAAAATTAGTTTTATATTATAAGGAAACTCGGTGTAGGTATGAATCGCCTTGGCCCAAGGTAGAGTACCGCCACCTGTTGAATGAAGTGCACTTACTGTTTGATCGGGTTCAGGTGAGACAATACGCATGCATATGCAACTATGCATACATAGAACTATGAAGATAATTTATTTAAAATACATGCATTTAACTTTCCAACGATACATATAACATTTATGCTAACAAATATACCGTAGTAATAGTTATATTCAATGTAGTATATAAATAAATCAAACTACAATTATATGTAAATGCTTGCCGACAGCTTATTAATTATTGAAATATGCAGTCTTATGGTACGGGATCATGTCTTAAAGTCCAGAGACTGCGCGACCCGGTATGCATCGGAGCGAGCGGCTTGTCACTCCGAACATATATAGAACTTCTGCGGTCCGCAAAGAACTCTCAATTTACGGTTCGCAGTTGAAGGTGAGCGCTTATATGAGCCGAAAACCCTGTGAGAACCGTGCTTATAAAATTTATTAAGGGTTTATTCAACTTAACGTAAAAGTATGCTTTCTAATTTTATTACATGTACGGTTTAAAACGATTTGACACTAAAAAAAAAAAAAATAATAATAAACTGTTGCATACATATTTTAACCAAGTGGAATAATATAGTATTTGACTATAACTCGATTTCACGTAGATTAATTATCGAACTAAGATTAATTTGGTCGTTTCGAGAGTTCTCGATTTAAATTAAATTAAGTATAAAAAATATATTTATAACCTACATTATAATATTTTATCACAGTCAAATGGTCGATGAATTTAACTAAATATGTATTCATATAAGGTAGTATAAAATTTAAACGAGGTTTGAAATAAAAGAAAGACTATTCGGTCGAAAAACCTAATTAAGAGCAGTTAAAAATACTTAGTAGATCAATAATATTAAGTTACATGAATTGTCATACAAGTGATAGCACCATTCACGTGTGACGGATTCAATCATGCATTCGTGCAATATATTTTTTTATATGTTTATAACAAATAACATAAATAAATAAGCATAAAAAGCATTTAATAATACGTGTGTATCATGCAAACTTCCACCTTGAGTAGTAAACGCGTGAACCTAAATTTGTTTGTCCGTATAGTATAAACGAATCAAATAAATAAATCAGGCAATAAGAACGAATAGAAAGAACAATATTGAAAATACGTCAAGTGTTTGAAATGGGTATAGGTGATGCAAAAAGTGTCAAGTAGTTTCAGTATTAACTATATGTATAGAACTTCTATCATTACTAGGTTGAATCGATAGCGTAACCTCCACGTAAAAAGTATATCCCGTTCGGAGGATAGCTTTGCCTTCCGTTATTCATGTTTCGTGAGGGTATACATAATAAGTGTATTAAAAAAAGAAAGAAAAATATACTCAACATAAACGTGTACGGAAATGAATTTATCGTTTCTTCGAAACTTTGGAAACATTTCTCTGTACACCACAGAGTGGGTAAAAAACGCGGTATCGATAGGTAACGGTATGCGCAAATGCATAACGACGGGGTAGGATAAAATTACACTCGAAGGGTTCACGGAGCGGGTAGATGGGGCAGGGTATATACCGGATTCTTGTACTCCGCGTGTTATATATACAAATCTATGTGGTCTGCTCTGCACGTACCTGCACCACCGCCGTTTGCGAATTCTCTGGCGCGTTTACGCAGTCGCTCGGCTCTAGTGAGCCTGGGCGGCGGCACCGGGTTCAAGGCGATCATACTACGGTGGTGCGCTGAGCGATCCTTGACACTTAAAGCGGATCGCCCGCCGCCGCCGACGGCCAAATGGCTCATACTGCGCGCTGACGACAGGAGGTGTCCTCCTCCTGCTCCAGCAGCACCACTGCCGCCGCACGTTGCGGCGGCGCGGTCCAGCCGAGTCATCGAACTCGCCCTACCTGGTGACCGACGGGACGAACTGGCTGATCCGGGACGGCTGCACGGCGTTAGATCACGTGGGGACAGGATGGTGGGCATCAGGTCCGTCTTGCGTCTGGCCGCCTTCCGTTCGGCGCTCCCGTCACCACCTTCTAAACACACATATGTTACACATGTACAAACGCGCACCATCACCTCGAAGAACAGACACCATCACATCGTAATAATGTTACGTCACACGAACACATCAACAATTAACTGTTGATCATTTTTTTTTTTTTAAATTTTAATTTCTCATTCGATACATGTACACGCGGAACAGTGCGCAACCGGCGTGTACGTTTTAGCGCATTGAAAAAATAAAAAAAAACCAGTGACGTTGCGATCAAATCGGTGCGATGGTTAGTACACACATAGTACGATTACATAACGTGTACAATACGAGCGGTTAAGTCGGATCGACGTGCTGACGTGATTTTTCATCGTCGATACACGCAGTTACGATTCTAAAAACGCTTCCTTCAACTTTAACGAGCGATTTTCGAATTTGTTATTGCAATACTATACAATTCCATGTTTAGGTGAATGGTAGGTTTGATAGGCCGATGATGTAGAGAACGGTTGGCACTGATTTGACAATGTAAAACGTGTTTGAACGTTATTGTTTGGAAATAATTGGACCCGACGGGGTATTGTTAGGCGTTCACAATGCCACTGTTACCTATATATACATATAGGCGCATATAGTGCACACGATCGACGCTACAAATTGCGTGCATGCAGCAGCAGAGTTTATAGCAATAAGCTCGTTAAGTTAATAGAGCTAATTAATTAATTAGTTAATTAAAATTCAAAACGATTGTAATTATGTTCTAGATATTGCACGCGCAGGAAGCGGTAAAAAAAAAATAGAAAATAAAATAAAGGCGTGATCGCTAATTAAAATACATATAATAATTTGATATGCATTAGTCGGGCAAGTGAAAAAAGTTCAAACATCTACGTATACACTACTACAATTACTACTACCACCCTGGACGCGTTTTCAAGCTGTTCGCGTCAGTATTACAACACATTTTATTCCAGGTACTTTAATCTTGACAAATATATTTGTTAGTTTTTTAAACATCGTCTTATTCCTAGCTATACTATATACTTTGAAACGATCAACGATTCAACATCGGTGAACACTTATAATGTTTATTTATTAACAAAGCTCTAAATTATGTAAGTATTACACGTTACACGAATATGATCGTGTATAATAATACACGGATGGTGTTAATGCATAAAAATATAATCGCACACTAATTCTTATTAATTGAAATCTGGTAAATTTGATGTCGATCCAATAATTTACCTACGCTGAAAATCCATGCATAATACGCTACGGATTTTTAACATATATTAAGTTAGGATAAAACACTCGGAACACGTAATAGGATTTTGTATCCCCAAAAACTCACCACTCCCCATATCTACAGGGTATTCTGGGATAACAGGATAATACACATCACTCCAACGCAAGACATCCGTTACGGATTGTCTCTTATTGTATTCTGAAAAATCTAATGTTTACACCATTTCGTTTCCCAATGTGTGTTTAAACGGCAATAGTATATCAAATCACATTAAATCTAACCGAAGCAAATATATTTACACGTGATTTACCGTCAGTGTTGCGGTTTGATAAACCACCGGCTGAAGCAGCTCTTTTTTTTCCAGAACATTCGTTCAGCTCACGTTCTGATGATCTCCTTGTAAGAGGGCCCATAGGAGTTGTACTGCTCAACATCATCACATTGCTGGTAGAAGTAGCTCTAAAAACGAATAATATTATTATAAATAATAGAACATCTATTGCATTTATTTTCAAAAGACGAGTGGAAAATTTGATGCTTAGGAAATATATTAATTTTATAAGTTAATATAATTTAATTTTAAGGAATAAAACTGAAAAAGAAATAATTTAAATATTTATTTACCTGCGACTGGCCCAATACGATCCTCCTGTTTCAGACGGTTCAAGCATGCGAGGCGTGGAACTACCAAATGCAAAGACAATTGAACTACGTTCATTTCTTCTTTTTGACTCTATTCTAGCTTCACGTTCCTTAGAAATCAGCGAATAATTAAATCAATACATTTAAAATTATACATATATCTGGCTTTTATTAATTACTTGATTTTTTTTTAATATAGCCTCCCGTTTCTCTCGTTCAGCTTCAAATAATTGACGTTTTCTTTCTTCCACTTGTTGCCGCCTTTCGAAATCACGTGAACGCATTTCCTCTAAACGTCTTCGTCTTTCCTCTTCTTTTTGTTCTCGATACCTTTGAACAGCCAGTGCCTAGAATAATAAATATAATAGAGTTAATATATTTCGATAATATTTGCCGGATACAGAAACGAATTAGGTCGATAAAATATTACTTGTTGTTTGAGTTCTTCAAGTTTTCTTTGGCGTTCTTCATCGTGCTTCTCACGAACAAGTCGTAATCGTTCTTCGCGGTCTTTGATAGCATCTTTTCCTTTATAAACAAAAACCATAATCCATTTCAATATGCACTAACATGTAATAGAGAAGTTATTCAATTGATAATAACAGCAATCACCCACTAAAGTGGCATTGAGAAGTACGTGTGAGCAGATACATAATGCTCATGTTAAAGATCAAAACATGAGATTCACGATATTACAATTACGATAAAACAAAGGAAAAATACAATAGTTTTGTAGTTTGCTACATATACTATTGATGTAAACGTTTAAACCTCACGTAACATGATAAATTAAAAAAAAAATGATAAACATATCCAGATCAAACAGATCGCTCCTCAATTATAAATTGTACATTCAATTTAAAAAGCGTATTCATATATATTATATATATATATTTTTTTTTAATAAAATGCATTTGAAATAATAATACTGCACATATTTTTAACACACACACACACACACACACACCTATATATATATAAATATATGTTGAGTATTATATATAAATCTATAGAAATAATTTAAATCGAGTAAAATAAAGAATGTCTTAACTTTAACTTTGAAATCAGCATAAAAAACTATGTGCCATTAATCATACCCAGAACTAATAATAATTGTTAGTTATTTTTCACAGTAAAACAAAAATACAAACAAATGGACCAAAAATTATTCAATATTATGTTAGTATATATTTGTCCTAAAATACACAGGCAAGAGGAGAACATTTAAGTAAACCTGTTTCATATGTTTCACCATAAAAGTCAAATGAATCTGCGCCATGGGCAAACCAATGAAGTCCTCCTGATCGTATGAAAAAAAAAATAAACAGTTAAAATTATACCACAGGAAAGCATTTTTTTAAATTTGGTATACATTACAATATGTTTGCTTATAAGTATATTATCTATACATTATTAATATTCCTGTAAATCAAACCGTCTAATAGAAATTAATGTACGACTAAGTATCAAAAGTGTTTTATTATAAACAATTTTTAAATACAAGTATATAGGAATTATCATAAACATGGATTCTGTGATAAAGGTCAATTTACGATACAAAACTTTCATTTATGTTTCTGATTACATCACATTACAATAACGAAGAAATAAATCGAAAATAGTAAATAATGTAATGTACCAATTACCTATTCAATGTTGGGAAATATTTCTATTATATTAATATAAATTGGAATTGTGTACATTGTATTAGTATTATTATGTAGTTAACGTTACCTTTAGAAGGATTTTGTGGTGGTGTTGGTGCAGTACTTGGCCGGTTGTCAGAGTTAACAGTGGTTACTCCTGCTAAAAATAGAAAAAAATAAATTAGAATTTTTTAATATTTAAAGATCTAACAAGCATAATATATATCAGTGTTGATAAACGATTATTCTTAGGTGAAAAGTCAAAACCAAAAAGTATTATTCGTATAGTAAACAATCGGCCAATCCTATACACTAGTACGTTTTATAATAATTCTACACGAATAAGTATCTATTGTTATTTATCAAGTCGAGTGGGTATGTATAATTCGTGCCCACTCATGTACGACTCATCATACAATGTTCGTACAGAGTAAACACAATAATAACTCTCACGAATCATCATCTAGTTGAGGGGAAAAAAAACGATTCTATTTTTATTCGGTCGACTGTTGGGCAAACGCGTGTAAATATCACGGACGAATTCGTGCCTAAGTATACCTATAATAAACATGTTATAATTACACAGTCATGTGAAATTGGAATTTATATATATATTTTTTTTTATACATTTTAATAACATTATTGCCGCGTTTACGTTGTGTATCGATGCCGCCGATGGAAAAAATGACATCATGGCGGTCGCGACCTCCACGAACACGGCGAGTGACCGCTCCTAAAAAAGAAAACGTTCGCGTCACGCGGACAATGAGCACGCGGGACGGTGGCGGCGGCGTTCTTGTATTCGTTGGTGTACCTACACACGCGCGGCGAGCGAGCAAAGAGAATGGCGGTTTTGGTTTCAAACCGAACAATAATAGTACAATAATAACAACAACATCGTTTTTGGTTTTCGGTTCGTCACGCGCGGCCGCCGATCGCAGCTCGCGCGTCCGTTGTTTATCTGGTGAAAAACACACACGTACGAGGCGATCGTGTGACGGACACGGCGATAATACATATTATTGTGTTATTGACGTTGACAGCATGGGCAAGTTTCGAACAATCGATTTTTCGCAAAACCAGCTAAGCGGTTATTCGAGTCCGAATTCACATCCATACGCGCGGACGTGTTCACGGACAATCCGGGTTACGGAGACGACGGTTTTTTCGCGCTTTCACGATTGTCCCCGCGCACTGGTAATTAAAAATACAGACTGCTTCACGCAAACGGATATAAATGCGTGTACGAGTATTAAATGCGATCGAACGCATAAAAAAAAAACCGACTGACCGTAAGTCGAGTTTCCCATCGTGGAAAACACCGTCGGTGGTGAGAAAATTAAACGCACGTTGCGCAAAAGCTATACGTGTATAGAGAGTGAGAGTCCTCGAGCTCGGGCGACAATCGACGACGGGTTAGAATAAGGTCGGCAAGGGATTTACATCGGAGTCCTAAAGTTTAAAATAATAAATCAACGAGGTCCAGTGAAAAAAATCTTTTTCAAATCTTTAAATTTTAAAAATAGCAGTCTAAAAATAAAAGTTAACAGGGTCCAGAGTATTGCCTTCCGACAGTTGCCGACCCTAGGGTTAGAACATCGTTCGAAGGGGATATTATTGTAAATGCGTGCCGTGGTATCGTACCGGCGGTGCGGGTGCAGGCTGCAGGCGAGTCGAACGTGACGTGTCGGTCTGGACGTTGAGGCGGCGACGCGTGCCGACGATGAGGAACGTAACGGCGAGCGGGCGGCACGGGCGCGGCGGCGGCGGACAGCGATGTCCTGAGAATGCCCCTGAGGGCCGTCAGCGCGGACTCGGGTATGTTGCGGGGGGCTGAAAAGCACCCGAGCGTCATCGGCGCGACCGTCGGACGTTCCATCACGCGCGGCAACAACGGCGGAGATCGCGCGCGTACACGACGACGGCGACTGACACACATACGCGCGCGGGTCCGCTCACGCGTGTTGACGGAGGCGGCCCCGCAAAACACGCGGCGTGAGCAGTGGTACAGAGGAGAAAGGACGACGCGAATCGCGCGAACACGTCGGACGATCGTCATTACCGCGGCGACTAATTATCGCGCACGCGTCTCGCCACCGTACACATTCGTTACAACGGTTTCGCGTATCCGTAACGCGGCGGCGATCGACAATTGGAGGATGCCCGACCAACACGTACAACAGGAAGGAAACGTATAACACGTTATAGCATGAAACACGTATTATACGTACGTATAAAAATAAGATCCCTTATAAATAATTATCATTATTTTATCGCGCACGTATTTAGAGTAGATTCATTGTACCTACATTTTTCATTACCATTGTACATGTGGTATTTGTAACACTTTTAATGTTAATAGATTATAAACGAAAAATTATATTCAAAATATATTTTTACTATGCATAAAAATTAAAAACCTTACTTAATATCTGACATAGGAAGTATTTTCAATTTTTAAAAGTGAATTTCAAAAACAACCCGTATTATACGTTTTATACACGTATATTACCAACCCTGATGTCATAGAGGTAATTATGGGATGGGAGACTTGGGAGGGGGAGGGAGCTAAGCCCCCAACATGAATTTTAGCCCCCCTCTCCTGTCATGATTCTTAGTCTTGTTAACGGTAACTAAATTTTTAATTTTAATTTAAAATATCGTTTTATTTTTTTTTTGGTTATACATACATATACATATATATATATATCACTGTAATACGATGATTGTATTTAAGGTTTTACTGCATAAATATTAATTAGAAATTATTAAAAAATTAAACACAAAAATAGTCGTAAAAGACGTACGATTATTAATAACTTATGATAACGATTAACGAGTAACGAAATATTAATGAAACTAACTTAAAATCAGAAATTTTGGTTCCGAAAAACTGTTATGACAATTAATTGGAAAACATTAAGAATTAGGAATATTTAAAGTATCTAAAGAGTATCGTTGAAAAATCTGGTTTTCCAAATTTATACAAAATGCTACATTTAGGGCTTGCAGTTCCAACAAACATCTTGTAAAAGAACATTCTCAGCAATACGTCAAATAAACACCTACATAAGGTCAACTACAAGGTCGTATCTGGGGGGGTCCAAGGTGTCTGGACCCCCCTGAAATTTCTTCAATATTTTATGAATGTTTAAAATACTTATTTATTTTTAATAAAAACATAAATATTTTCAGTCAAAAATGGCTTAAGCTCCAATTAATCATTGATTACTTTTAATTTTATATCATAATATCATATGAACCTAACCTAACAGGTTTTTCTTCTATTAAACATATTAGGGCTGAAGCCTCCCCCAAACTTTAGGATCTAGTTACGCCAATGCCTAACGTAAAACACACGTCACGCGCATACCGGTGGCGCGTCGGTTTCGTGTCGTTTGTTTTACAACGATACTTCGCGTGTTAACGGGTATTGAGTTTAAACGGAACGCTAATTAATTAATACGTTTTTGTATGCCGGTTTTTTTCCTTCTCTTTCCGTAGTTTTCCAACGAGTACGTCGCGTATACATTGGCGAGCGGTGCGTCATAAAAACAATTTAAACCTACATAATTTAAATCAGAGTGTATACATCGATTATAAGCGGCAGCGGCGCGTCACAAATCAAACATGTTCGAATTTTGACTCGCGTTGCTCTTGAAAATATACTGTTATCTATACTATACTATCAGTTATTATTTTAACTGTCAACACACCGCTAATGTCGAAGAAGACAAGTCAAAATACACGTGAATTTTAATTTCCGAGGTGCGGATTTACCCGAGTCTTTGAGATGTCACACATCCGGAACATAAAAATTGCGAAAAGATTAAAAAGAAATGAGAGGAAGTTGAAAAAATCATTGGATTGACTGGTATTATACAATATAATATTAATTGTTTTAATTATATTAATAATATTTATAGTTTATTATATAAAAAGTAGGTTAATAGGTAGTAGTTGGTACTTGGCGGATGCTCACACGTTCTTTAATCTATGTACTATGTACGACAAGAATTAATATATTTTTAGAATAGTACTAACACTGAAACCTCAGACAAGATAAATTAAAATATATATAAAATATAATATTCAATTTTACATCATAACCTACTGTCTTTTAAAAAAATAATCGACGAACGCTTTTCTTATGTATTTGGCTCTTTGAAGAACATTTGCACCTCTTGCTGGTTGAACCGTTGTTTTATTTTCCTCAATTATTTTCTGTGCCTAGTATAATGTTACAATAATCTAAGTCACTATTGCCATCTTTTTTCCTGATAATTTGTGTAATATACATATAAATTTAATAAATGTAATAGTAAATAGTAATAATAAATGATAATTGGTTTTTTTGAGCTAACTTCTATACCTTTTCCAAGTAATCTCCATTTAACTCGAAGTATACCAAAAATTCACTCAATTCATTTGCGTTCTTTCGATAAACTATCGTTAAAATTTTTTGTAGCTGCATTTAACTTCGAGAAGGAAATAGACACATTTCGTCACCAATTAACACATGAGAAACTTTAATATTTGTCGCAGGCATATTTTTTTCTGGGTCATATTAAATTTATTGTTGTGAATCAAATAAAATAATTTTGAAGATGGCAAAAGTTCCACCATCACTCTGTTTTTCTCTTGCGCCGACTTCAACAGTTAAATTAATAGAACTCGAAGAACAAAAAGTTGCTATTCTTCAAAAAACACAAGATAGTGAAAAAAAAAACCTGAAAATGCAGACGCTCAATTTCTATTAAGACTTTTGCCTCATTTTAATAGATTGCAACCACTTAAGAACTGGAAATTAGAAGTGAAATACAAAATGCTGTGTTCAACGTTTACAGAAGAAAAAGCTATTCGTCTAATAGTTATGAATGTATTTCAGAAGTATCACCAATACAAACCACATCATCTCATCAACCAGCGCAAAGAAAAATTTATCGCCCTATAATGATGTAGAAAATTATCTTTACTAACAAGTGAGCGAACCCAATGGAATATTCTTGGAAATATAGTTCCATTAACCGTTTAATGTTATGTGCCGAACACGAACAGAACCTTAAGTGTTGGCATACGGTGTGGAAATATTTCATTAGATACTAATCAACATTTGTATAGTCTTGATAAGACACTAGATTAATATTTTACATACAACTA